AAAATTTGAGCTTTTTACTGACCATCAAAGCCTCAAGTACCTGTTCACCCAACGAGATTTGAATTTGAGACAACGAAGATGGATAGAGTATATGGAAGATTACGATTTCAATCTTCAGTACCACCCAGGAAAAGCTAATGTTGTAGCAGATGCTTTGAGCCGGAAGAGCCATGGAGTCTTAGCTAGTTTGGCATTTGAAGATTGGAATAGGTTAGCTACCGTTGGGAGTTTTGATTTGCAGTACTATGAGGATAGTTACAAGGCATGTGTCTTCAACATTGTGGCAACTCTTACCTTGATACAACTGGTAAAGCAAGGGCAATGGCATGATGAAGAACTTGGTGAAGTTTGGGACCAGCTTCAAAGTGGAAAACAGATTGAGGAATGGCAGGTAAGTCCAGAGGGATTCCTCATTCGGAGAGGGAAACTTGTGGTTCCAAATGATCCTGATCTCCGAGATGCCGTGTTGTATGAGGCTCACCGCTCTAAGTTTTCCATTCACCCTGGGAGCACTAAAATGTACATGGACTTGAAAAGGCAATACTGGTGGCGTGGAATGAAACGCGACGTTGCCAATTTTGTGGCTAAATGTGCAATATGTAAATAGGTCAAAGCGGATCATCAGAGACCTGGTGGCGAGTTGCAGCCCTTACCTATTCCTGATTGGAAGTGGGACCATGTGACAATGGATTTCGTCACGGGATTACCTAGAACCCAAGAGGGGTATGATGCTGTATGGGTTGTCGTGGATCGCTTAACGAAGACTGCCCATTTCATTCCTATAAGAGATGATTATAAGGTTCCCAAGCTATGTCGATTGTACATCGAGAGGGTAGTCACGTTACACGGTGTCCCTATGTCTATTGTCTCTGGTCGTGACGCTCGATTCACCTCTAAGTTTTGGAAAGGATTACAGAATGCTTTGGGAACTGAGCTGAGATTTAGCACCGCTTTTCATCCCCAGACTGATGGCCAATCAGAGCGGGTCATACAGATTCTTGAAGATATGCTTCACGCTTGTATTTTGGACTTTGGAGGCAGATGGGGTGAGTACCTACCAAATGTTGAATTTGCCTACAATAATAGCTATCAAGCTAGCATTGGAATGGCTCCATTTGAGGCTCTGTATGGTAGACCCTGCAAATCTCCTTTATGTTGGGCTGAGAAAGAAGAACACATTAATCTCGGGCCTCAGTTTGTACGGGAAACAACAGATAGAGTTCAACTTATTCATGATCGCCTCAAAGCTGCTCAGAGTCGACAAAAAAGTTATGCAGATAACCGGAGACGACCGTTGGAGTTCGAGATTGGAGATTTTGTGTTCTTAAAAGTGACCCCAAAACGCGGTGTTTCTCATTTTGGTGTTCGAGGCAAGCTTGCACCGAGATACACAGGGCCATTTCAGATACTAGAACAAATTGGACCAGTTGCATACCGCCTAGACCTGCCATCCCAATTGTCTCATGTCCATAACGTCTTCCACGTGTCGATGCTACGGAAGTACGAACCAGATCCGTCTCAGATAATAACATGGACAGATGTCCCGATCCAGGTAGACACGACTTACGAGGAGTTTCCTGTTTGGATTTTAGAATGTGAGATTAAGACTTTGCGTCATCGTGAGATACCCTTGGTAAAAGTTCTATGGCAGTATCATGGAGATGAGGAAGCTACTTGGGAGCTTGAGTCAGAAATGCAGAAAAAGTACCATTATCTATTCTGAATACAGTTGTAATTGTAATTTTGAGGACAAAATTTCCCAAGGGGGATGAAGTTGTAAAACCCAAAATTTATTTAGGGTCAATTTGTAATTTTTAAAGACTTAAGTGTGAAAATTTTAGAAATCTGGGCCAAAATTCAAATTTAAGAGAAATATGGGGGTCAAAAATGAAAATTTTGACAGTCAGCATGCCCAACCTGTCATTTAGTGCCACTTGGGCGTGTTCCTCATCCTCACCAATCAGAAAACCCTCATTTTCCCTCTCCTCATTTTCTCTCATTTTCTCTCCTTTTCTCCACGCACGGCCGACCCACCTCCGGCGAGATTCCGGCGTCCGTTTTTGACACCTCCCAGCTCGTTGGAAAGATCTTGTCGAGCTGAGTCCGGATTGGTGTCTTCCAGCCGCCAACTCCGCCAGACAACGCCACACTCACCGGCCAAAGTTTTGAAAAACACCCAAACTTCTGATCGTGATATCTTCGCCGTCCGGTGTCCGATTGAGGTGATTCCGATCCCAATAGACTCAGAGCGAAGAGACGAAGAAAACCGTACCAGCAGCATGGCTTGATTCTGACCAGAGTGCCACCGCCCGTGGTGGTCAGATTTCTCGCCGCCGCCGCCCTCGTACCTCCCTCCTCCGGCTGTTGTGAATGACACCACCCAGCTCATTAGCTTCAGAGGGAGCCGAAGAGTCATTCTGGGCCACTAGCCGTGGTCGCCGCTGTTGGCTTGCCAAAAAATGAGCCGCCGCCGCCGTGAGAAAAATGGGAGGATAGTTCCGGTGATCTAGCCGTTGGATCCTTGTGATCTTGGTGTCAAAATACTCAGAATCTCACGGGTAATGAAAGCCCTCAATCAATTTTGAAGATCCATGGCTAAAAAACAAAGATTGAAGACTCAAAATTTGGCCAGAATTGAGGATCTCGATCCGTGTTGTTAGAGGCCGAATTTGGTAAAATTGACATCGCCATTGGATTCAGAACTATTGATTTAGGGGGGGTAGGACCCAAGTCCGCCGCGGGATTCTTCACCGGGAAGCTCTGCCGCCATACCGCCGCCGTCAGTGGCCGGATTTCGGTGAAGCTTCGTTTCTCAGCTTCTCGACTTCCGATTGACGATCCGTTTTGAGGTAGGGGTCCTATTACTTAACTTTTGTGGAATTTTATTTAATTTAATTTATTTTGTTAAATTTGAGAAGATTGAAATTGTATATCAAACTTATTTATTACTGTTATACGACATGACTTGAAGCAGAACCATTAGGGGGCCCGTCCTGTAATGTATAGCGTGGCCAAGAGATTTTGACATAACTTTGGAATCTGACACAAAAGCATGGTTAGGAGAATGTAAACCGGACACGATAGTGAGATAGTGTGCTAACAGTAGGTGTGGCCGTTCACCATCCCTGGGTGTGAACCCGAAAAGGTAAAAGAGGGGAGAGGTGATGACGCTCTCCGGGGTTGAGAATCCCCAAGGTTACTGTACAGTGGTTGCGTCTTGGTGAGGGCTCAGAACGACAGTTCACCCTTGCCCGTGGTTCGAGAACTGATCTGGTAGGGATGCCGAGATAGAGCTCCTTGCTATCAGTGCCTCTGAATCACCGCACCCTTCGGGGGTTTTTCATCACGAGCGTACGGATTGGGTTATCTCACTGATACTGATCATCTGACTCATTATACATAAAACATAAAAACTACTAACCATGCAGGTTTAATTGGAAAACTAAATAAAACTAAAGGTGAGTAATAGTCCTCCTACTGAGCATTTCATGCTCACCCCTTTTCTCTTCCCATCCCCAGGTGGTGTGCAGTGTAATCTTTCAAATGAGGAGTAGACGTCTCACAGTGTGCACGTGTTGGAGACCTATCCCTTCTTTTGGTCTTCTTCTTTTATGTAAGATCCTGACTGGGTTGTTTTCAACATGGATGTGACTGATGATGGTTGTATTATTTTAGTATTTTACTTGGTGCTACATTGTACTGTGGATTTCTGGTTTAATTTTCTTTGTCGAGTTGTGATTTTAATCATGAGTTTTTCGTTAAAAGTCCCATGGGCACTTGTCGTTTATATTTCAGGAGTTATATTTTATTTTTATTTTCGTTTATCCCTCGTATTTTATTCTTATTGCGTAACCCCCACCTACGGGTGTTACAGTGTGCCTAGGAGTGTTGTGTCTGATCGGGATGTTAAGTTCCATAGCCACTTTTGGAAGGTTTTATGGGGAAAGTTGGGAACTAAATTATTATTCTCAACTACTTGCCACCCCCAAACTGGTAGACAAACCAAGGTAGTAAGTAGGACTTTGTCTACATTTTTGCATGCTATCATCCAAAAAAATTTGAAGAATTGGGAGGAATGTTTGCCATTCATTGCCATTCATTGAGTTTGCATATAATAGGAGTTTCCACTCTACCACCATGTTTTAGCCGCCAGATGGCTGGGATTCATTATTAGATGTCTGGACTAGTTGGTGCTTTAGAAGTTTAGAGGTCCGATCCTTTCACTGTCCTAATAAATAAACCGAGACCTATTGTACCTGCATCATTAGTGATCGCTTCTGATCATACTTTTATAGCGTATTAACGTGTTAGAGACACTTAATGAGCTTATTATTTATTTAATAACGGTAAATTCATTTATATAATTATTTAAGAACTTTTGATTTTATCTAAAGAAGGAATATGTGTATATCAAAGAAATTACACGAAAAGCAATTAGGGATGGACACATTTGAAGAGAATTGTTTTAACAATTAAAAAAATAAAATAGGAATAAATGTAAAAAATTACCCAACCTAGGACAAGCAGCTATACGCATTGGTGATGGCTTTGGAAACATGGCAAGACTACCTATGGCCAAAGGAGTTCGTTATTCACACTGATCACGAGTCCTTGACGCATATAAAAGGGCAAGGTAAGTTAAATGGAAGACATGCAAAGTGCGTGGAATTCATTGAGACTTTTCCTTATGTGATCACATACAAACAAGGTAAGACAAATGTTGTGAGTGATGCAATGTCTTGAAGGTACGCACTTGTTTCTACTTTAAATGCAAGGTTATTGGGATTTGAATATATTAAGGATTTGTATGCTACTGATGCTGATTTTGCTAGTGTGTATGGGGCGTGTGAAAGGGCAGCATTTGGAAAGTTCTATAGGATGGATGGGGATTTGTCTAGAGAGAATAAACTTTCTGTGCCTATTAGTTCTATGAGAGAGTTACTTGTGCGTGCGGCATATGGCAGAAGTTTAATGGGACATTTTGGTGTAAGAAAGACTTTAGAATTGTTGCATGAGCATTTTTTTTGTCCTAAGATGAAACGTGACGTGGAGAGATTGTGTTCTAGATGTGTCACACGTAGGCAGGCTAAGTCTAGAGTTTTACGTCATGGATTAAACACACCTTTACCCGTACCTAGTGCGCCACGGGTGGACATTTCTATGGACATTGTTTTAGGTCTGCCTAAGTGAAAGAGAGGAGGGGATTCAATTTTTGTGGTTGTAGATAGATTTTCTAAGATGGTACATTTTATATCTTGTCATAAGACCGATGATGTAACAAGCATAGCTGATTTGTTCTTTTAAAGAAATAGTACAACTCCATGGTGTGCCTAGGAGTATTGTGTCTGATCGGGGTGTTAAGTTCCATAGCCACTTTTGGAAGGTTTTATGGGGAAAGTTGGGAACTAAATTATTATTCTCAACTACTTGCCACCCCCAAACTGGTAGACAAACCAAGGTAGTAAGTAGGACTTTGTCTACATTTTTGCATGCTATCATCCAAAAAAAATTGAAGAATTGGGAGGAGTGTTTGCCATTCATTGCCATTCATTGCCATTCATTGAGTTTGCATATAATAGGAGTTTCCACTCTACCGCCAAGTTTTCACCCTTTGAGGTTGTTTATGGATTTAATCCGTTGACTCCTATGGACTTGATTCCTTTACCGATTAATAAGAGGAATAGTTTGAATGGACATAAAAAGGCTAAGATGGTGAAGAAACTCCATGAAAGTGTGCGGTTACACATAGAGAAAAAAAAAGAGCAAATGCAGCCAAAGCAAATAAAGGTCGAAAACAAGTTATTTTTGAACCGGGTGATTGGGTTTGAGTACACATGAGAAAGGAGCAATTTCCTGTCCATAGACGTTCTAAGTTACACCCTAGAGCGGATGGTCCTTTTCAGGTTGTCAAAAGAATCAACAATAATGCCTACAAGTTAGATCTTCTGGGTAAGTATAATGTTACTGCTACTTTTAATGTTTTTGATCTTTTTTCTTTTGATGTAGGTGACGATTCGAGGTCGAATCATTTTGAAGAGAGGGGGAATGATGAGAATCATGGAGTGATCCGTTGCAAGTTCCAGTGAGACCAATCACAACAGCACGGGCCTAGAAATTCAACGACTCATTTATTGGGCTGATTCAATCACTTTGGGCGAAGTCCAAGTTGGGACACGTCAAGTTGGAGCCATGTGAAGACCAAAAACTAGTTAACTTAATTCAAGCGACTATGAAGGACTGATTGTAGTGGTGAAACTTTGGGCTGGCGGGCAGGCCCGCTGCCCAAATTTTTCGGGCTCGGCGGGTAGGCCCATATGCCGGCCCGTCCAAAATTAGATTTTCGGGTTCGGGATCGGGCAGCCCGAATTTAGTCACCACACTGGAGCCTGCCGCCGTGTAACGCCATCAACCATCATCTGCCGGAGTTTTTTTTTAATTTTTCCGGCCAAGCCCTATTTGCCCGAATCGCTTGAAAAATGGTCAAAATTCCGACCGTTGGTGCCTAACCCAAAAATAAGCCCGAAAACTCAAATTTTGCCCGAATGCCCGAGATGTCCGAAGTGTCCGAATGCCTGAAAACCCGTCCAACGGCTAGTTTTTTGACCGTTGCCGCTCGAACGCGCCCGAACCCGACCCGGCGAAACCTAAAGTAGCCGTTGCACCTGTTGGAAATGTGTCCAGAAAGTAGGATGTAATTTGTTATTTATATAATGGCAAATATCG